TTCCCACCAGTAAAACAGGGATGACAGAACCTACCCTATAAGCTTATGAGGATTGAACAGCTTGATTCATGTGAAGCACTTACAGCTGTTCTAAAACTGAGGAACAAAACAGACACAGAGGCATGGACACATGGAACAGAATGGTGTCTGTCAGAGGGAGGGAAGACTGGATAAAAGAAGGGACTAGCCAAAGAACATATATGCGTAACACATAGACAACACTATCGTGAAGGCCAGAGGGAAGAGGGGCCAGGGGCTGGGTGGAAGTGGGCAAAGATGGAAGGATAGGGACCTAGGTAATAGTGTCAACAATAAACAAAAAAAATGTTCTAAGACAAAGCTGTTATTAATTGGAGATATGTCCTAAGGCCTTTACCAATCCAAAATTCACCAACACTGTAACTTCTATTTTCCCCCTAAAATGAACTCATTAGCTCTCTTCACATTCCCTTTGAGTACTAGGAATTGTTTTCAGTAACAAATTGTTTTCAGGCATATTTTTGATGGAAGATATACGTATTAACATGCATTTATAAATCTATTTAGTTTTTAAGTTCAATGGTAACATTTCAACCAGTGAAGGTCTACTGAGTTTCCCAAATCTAATTAAGAGTTTCAGATACTCAGTAGTAGATACTGAAAAACGTAACTGAAATTTCACACAAATCTGATCGAGTTTCAACAGCAAGGAGTATGTGAATGTGTGTACATGCACACACAGACAAACAGACCCATATTTAAAATCAATTCACCCGAGTTCTTATGCAGGAAACTGTAACAGACACTAATAAAGTTATATATTGGGTAATGTAGCACATTACCCAATACAAGGAATGGTTTTGGACTCAGCAAAACATGGACATGAAGCAGTACTACAATCCAGCTCAGTACAGGACTCAACTGGCAGTGCCAACACTAGGCTTTGGTGGTGGTGAAGGGAGTCATGTGTAAGCAGCAGCTAGATCTCCAGTACCACTCTGCATAAGGGCACCACCCCTTCCTCATATGGTCTTAAAATTTATCTCCACATCCTCTTTGTTCTCAGGAAGCTACTCAAGGATATGTTCCACACAGATGAAGTAAATCTTAAGATAGACATGATACAGAAAGTGAGAAATGAGGGACTCCAACATAGAGGAGAGGCAAGCAATCCCAGGATGATGGTGAAAGGGAGTTCTAGAACAGATGTGTACCAGCCACAAAAGCAAGAAGTCCAGACTGGACACAACAGGAACCATTTCCTCAAGAAGATGGATGAAAACGATGAACTGCTATGTCTGAACACAGGATATTCATACACCTAGTAGAGTTTTAGGTAGAATTAGCAAGAAGTACATGGAAACCTATGCAAACAAAGTCAGTTATTAACTCAAGGAAGTAAAAATGCAGTATAAGGGGGCTGGGTGGAAAAGGTGAAGGGATTAGACAAGAACAAAAAAACAAAAAACAAAAACCACAGACACGGACAACAGTATGATGATTACCAGAGGGAGAGAGGGTTGAGGGGGTTGAAGGTAAAGAAGGGGAATGGGGAATGATAAAAGGAGACTTGAGTCTGGGTGGCAAACACACAGTACAATATGAAAATGTTACAGAATTATACAACCCATAACATTTTATTAACCAATGTCGCCGCAATAAATAAAAAGATTTACATACAGTTCAAAGGGACAAAGAAAAAATTAAAATAAAAAATGCAGTATAGGGTAAGAATACATTCAGCTCTGCACAGCATTACATAATCTTAATAATGTGTTGCACGTGGGTCACCGGCCAGCAGTGACCACGGAATGCTGTGGATGGCTCGACAATACGCGAGAAAAAACACACATGCACAGAGACAAGACTAGTTTCTGTGGGGAAGTAGGGATGGAATGGCCACCCCCCCTAGTGGGGAGCGCGCTGATTTACCGTCCATACCTGTTTTTATTAGGCTCATTTTGCATAATAATTCAGGTAAAGTACAGTACTCATTAGGGGAAGTAAGGAACTATAGAAAACAAAGAACTCTGCCGGTCTATTGAGTTGGGGTCAAAGAGCTGTAAGACTGAGGAACAAACTAACTTCCTCCTAAGACCCTTCTCATTCAACTGAGAGCATTCTAAACAAAGAAGGTTTCACAGTAATTTACATGTTCTTTCTTAGGCCTGATCACCCCGGGAAATCCGCACTTCTCGGTACCGAGCTGTACCACCCTGTCATTGTTTCAGGCTTAGGTGGAGCAAGGGAACTAGGTAACCAAGAGATAAGATTTTCTTCCAGACGCTGAGAACTCAGACTTTGTCAAAGCCGAGGAGCGAGGGTCCATCACCCCCTTTTGCTGCAGCCCCCCCCAAGTCCTTCTTTTGGGGGGGCCTCCCAAAGTGATCGTGCCTGGCTTGGGTTGTTCCCCCCATGGGGAATCTTACCCGTCTTTGGCTAACCGACCAAGCTTTTGGGGGTTCAGTTATGAATAAAGCAGCAGAAGCAGCATTCCTGCCAGGAAGATAAGCTTTTGTCTCCTTGCTGGCTTACAGTTCCAAGGGCGTTCCCTTAGCCTTAGCTAGGCGGGGGTTTCAGCTTCTGATACCAGTCAGGGCGGTTCCCAACAATAATGTAAACATTCTTAATCAGTCAATATTCTAAAAGATGTACTGTAATTATGCTGAGAAAAAGGGAGAAAGGAAGGAAATATGTAATGGCTGAGAAGCAGAATAGTAAAGCTTTATATTACACATTGAAGAACTGCCTTATTTTTTTATTAATTTATATTTTATTGTATTTTTCCATTACCATTTATCCCCATTATACCCTCCTCCCCCCTGTAATCACCAGTGTTGCCTTAAATTGAAAAACCAAGCAAAAAAGATATATGAATGTTTTTTGGTATGTTTATAAAGAACAAAAAAAAAGTTTTAAGAGCTTACTCTGGAGACTAGAAATGGGAAGATATCAGGATAACGGTGTTTTTATTTAGAAAAAAATCTGTAGATTTGACTCTTTAAACTATGTGTACATGTAACTTGAAGAACAGAAAAACAAAAACAAAATCTAGCACAATGTTTGGCTCATAAAAATTCAATGTTAATCATTTTATTATAATGACAAGAGAGATGACAGTTTTTCCTATCACCATTACATTCATGCTAGAGATAATGCTTTCTATATTATAAATGCTACTCAATTTGTTTAAAACACGTTATTTACTATGCTTGGAATATTGGGCATGCTTAATAAAATAAAAAATTATAAAACATTCCAATTATTATTTCTTTTTACTAAGCAAGTATCTAATTTTACACACAACTTTCAATTTTATAACAGAAACAATAAAATTATTTCACTTCTTGATATTAAACAGTAACACCAATTCTCCAAGACATGCACTACAACCACATGAAAATGGGTTGCCTTGAAAGTCTGTTTAGTTTTTTCTGTAAAATAAAAGACACACTTTTCATTTTCACCAACAGCCTTACTGATTTGGATATTTTGAGTATGTTGGCTATCTCTTGCTACTGGCTTCCAGTGGGTAGAGGCCAGGAATGCTACTAAACATCTTCCAATGCATAAGATAGCCCCACAGCAAAGAATTATTTGGCTACAATGTCAGTAGTACCAAGAAACTCTGAAAACCACTTTTAACATGTTTGATCAGTCTCAGCACCTTGTCCCTACACTGCACAAATCTTTTTGCATTTAGTTGTGTTTTTACCTTTCTTGAAATGATAAAGTATAATATGGCGAAAAATGTTGCCTATTTTCTTCCATCTTCAATATTAAAATGCGCAAAAAATCTACCAATTTTGATTTTTTTAAAAATGCACGCTGATATGACAGCTGTTACAATCTAACAAAATTATTTCGAATGAAGTTAAAGACAACTAAACACAACTAGAGCCATCGTACAGAAAAAACTAAATGAACTGTTTGGCCAACCCAACAGATTCTGTCATCAATATGATGGTCTTGGCATTTTATATATTATGTTCCCACTTTAACTTAAAACCTATTTACTCAAAAACAAAAACAGGCAAACACAATGAACAGGCAGTTCATTAAAAAGAATACAAACAGGCAATAACAACACTGACATACAAACCTCATTTGTAATGAAAGAAATAGAAATTAAAAAAATAAGGTACCATTTTTCACATATATTGGCAAAGGTTAAGTTAAAAAAAGAGATAGTTATCTATAGCTTATCAGGACAGGTGGGGGGTGAAAGGTGGTCACACATGTAAAACTAACTGGAAGTGTAAGTTGTACAGGCAAAGTTTTGGAGAGCAATTTGGCCACACAAAGCTCTAAAAAAGTTTAATCCCTTTGAACCAACCATTCTACTTCCAGAAACTTTCTCAAGAAGTAATTAAGCATGTAGCTCCAATGTGGTTGTAAGGATAACCACTGCACCACTGCTTAGAGTCTACAAGCAATCAAAATGTCTAACAAAGAGGAAAAATGAGTAAATTGAGGCATACCTCCCTTGCAGCAGGCAGTAGGCTTCCCTCAACGCCATCTTCACCTTAGCTTCTACTTTACAGTCTAAGGATCAGGTTTCTTGGTGATCTGATCTGAGTCAAGGGAAACTGAAGGGAACTCTTCTGCGGACTCGTGGGAAATGTACTCCTCACTGATGAAACTGAGATGTGAGGGGGGGAACACAAGAGCTTTTCCTTTGAGATGCAGTTTTATGAAGATGTGAAGCTGGAAGTTATAGTGGCAGCTCTCATGACCATGAAACAAGCCTAAGGCAAAACAACCTGAGGCAGAGGCAAAAAAGTGTCCTAATGATGCCTCTGAACTGTGTTTTGTATGAGATAATAAATATTCTTGGTAACTTTACGTGAGTTTAATTTGGACACCGTTACCTCTGGTCAAAAGCATCCTAACTGATATTAGCCATACAAGAGAATACTTTAGAGTCAGTAACAGGTTTGCCACAGAATTATTTATGAACAGTAGATGTACAATTAAGAGAAAAAAAATTTACAAAATAGTATGTTCCCATTTTTTTATTAAAAAAAACAAAACAAAACACCCAAGTATATTAATATGGATTCATTAGCCAAAAAAAGGTTTTAAAAGCAGTTATCTCTGATACAGTTATGTCTGAAGGACAGGAATTTAAATGCTTCCTTATTACATACTTGCATGCCTCAGAGATACCGTGGGTTTAGCTCCAGACTACCATAATAAAGTCAATCATAATCTTTTTGCTGGTGGAGGATCTTGCCTTCTTCCATTTGTAAAAAATGTTAACACCTGTGAAGCACAATAAAGTGAAGCACAAAACAGCAAAGTGCATTAAAACAAGGCATGCCTGTATCACTTAACATTCTGCCATCCTTTTCTATTTCTTCTGTCAATTCAATGCCATTCTGGGAAGAAAGAAAAGGTAAACGTATTCTACTAAGCTATCTTGAACTGGGAGTATGCTTTTTTAATAGGAAAGTTGTTTTTCTTTTTCAAAGTGTTTTGTGAAATAAAACTTGATAGTATCAGGCATTTATTTTTTGTGAGTACAGAATATTACAAAGTTTTCATTTCCCTTTATTACTTATCATATCACGATTTTGTACCATTTCGTATCAGAATTTCTTCTGTGAAGCAAAAACAGTCCCAAAATGAAGGATCTTCGGGGGTCATAGGAACAGCAGATGATATTAAGTCATTATAGGTAAGAATAGTAAACTGCCTCTGGGATGGTTTAGAATCATCTTGAGATGAAGCCTAAAAGGGGAAAAAATAGATTATCTCACTGTTATACTGCATGTTAATCTTATGATCAATTTTATAATTAGGAAAATAAGATTATAAATTACATTTCAGTAATACTAAAGTGTTAACACAGTAGAATTTCTAATTGTTTTTACTCCTTCTATTAGTGCTGCCAATATAACAAATTCAGAAAAATATGAAATAACCTGATTGTCACTTTTTCTTTATCACAATAACCTATGGTATTTGATTAAAATGTAGACTGAGTCACACATCCAAACATTCTACTTCAACAGATGAATTAAAAAGGAATCCCAAAATATTTAAGAACGTGGATTATTCTGATAGAGGGCGGCTACCAGGTGAATTTTTGAGAAATATTTTAGAAAGTGAATCTGATAAAATTCCCATAACCACACAGAGATGCAAAACTTCTTTAGGAAATGATTCATTCCACACTAAACTTAATCTGTATCTTACACTCTGAGGTAGAACTTGTTCACAACTGAACCCCACAGAGACCTTTAACATCCTGTACATTCTTGTAAAGGTACTACTTGGATTTTATATAGTGCTTTAACAAGGTCAGTACCTATTTAATGTGATTTATGTCTCACGGATATGCTGATATGATTGTTATCTCAATTTTATAGATGGAGAAATTAAGGTTTAGGAAGATCAACCACTTTTGCACAAGCTCACAATACAGGTTTAAATGGTAGTCCTTTTCCCATCATGTCACTGGTGCTGCCTAAACAGGCTCTCTCCAGGGAAATACAAAGGAAGTACAACATGTGCAAATGTTACAAAAATACAAAGTTCTATGGAAATATAAGGTATTCACAGAGAATGCAGGGCTGAGGTAAAATAAGATAGGTAACAAGGACAGGTAACAGTGGTCAGAACATCTTCAGATAACAACGAGTCAATTTTAACATACCATCCCTATTTTTTAAATTTATTTATTTTTAATTTTAGAATTTGTGTAACAATTTATGAGACTAACTGATGATATATGCCAGAGAACAAGATTTCAAACGTTCCCCTCTTTGTTGGTTTTAGATATTGCAAAAATCTCTTCCCAACTTTCATCTTTAACTTTGTCAATGAACTTTTTTGAACAGAAATCCTTAATTTTGGTATGATCTAATCAGTCCATTTTACTTACTGTTTGTGAATTTTTTAAAAATTTTTATAAGCGTTTACTTGAGCCAACCTACTAACATATGCAGGGGAGCAAGATCTTGGATGCTCCCCATACCATCCCTTTTTAATGAAGATAATCTATGAGGTGTTTTAATCTTCGTTAATCTCTCTAAGGCGTGGTCTATAGACTGAGCTATTTTTCGAGAGATAATGATATTTGTATATTGATCACACCACAGTTTCTGACATGGATTCTGTAAAAATGGTATGCATATAGTTTAAATTATTATAACATTATCAGTATTCCTTAAATACTACTATAGAATCACAACTATATGTAGGCTAAGAGTCCTGGACCCTACATGTTTTTTGGTTTTTAAATTTTTTCACTTACCAATTAACAACAGAATAAAGTAAAATCAGACTGTAATTAAAGAACTGGGGCTGACACTGTACCACCATACAATGCAAGGCCTCTCACATGTTTGTTACTGTAACTTTGGGAATAATTAAGGCTAAAAGGGGGAACAGGTTCAATTTCTGGGTAAATTCCATTACTCACCACCAGTCAACTTGGTACTCTTATATTCAAGATGTACACTGGGAAACAGACCACAGTTATGATGACTAAGGTAGTGATTTCCTTGAATTTCAACTGAAACTGTGAGTAGTTGGATAGTGTTACTGAAGTTTTTTTCTTTGTAATATTTAAGTATTTGAATGTGAAGCAGGTAATATGCTTCTTATAATTTTCTGTAAAATCGCTGATGATCTTAAGGATTTCATAACAAAAAATACTTCTAAACTTATAATCTAAAAACAAATAAAACCCTCCCTCTAAAACTGATATAAACCAAATGATTATTTCTATCAGTCAGGAACAAACTCAGTATTGATTCATGCTTTTAAAATAAAAGTCAGAAAAATCTTAAAATCTTACATCCTGATGTCTAGATCCATCGGGTTTCCTAAGAGCTACTGCAACAAAATGGTGCTCATCTATTTTACTTTCCTGAAAAATAAAACACAGTACAGATCACAAAATATGTAAACTTAGATATTTAAATATGTAAACATCTTTACAATGTTCTTTACATCTCAACCTCTCTATCTCCACACACACACACACACACACGCACACGCACACACACACATTCCCCCACTTCCACCGACCATTTCAGAAGTCAAATACATTTTGACCCTTTAGTTTGAAATATTTCAATATGTATTTCCTAAGTGGAATATTCTCTCACATAACCAGAGTAGTTAATAACTTTGGTTAATAATACATTGAAATTGTACTTAAATCTGCCATTTGTATTCCAAATTTTTGAACTAATCCAATAATGTCTTTTACAGCATTCCCCCGACTCTAATGCAGGAGGCAGTCTAGGGTCAAGTGTTGCATTCAGTTGTTATGTCTTGCTAGCCTTTCTTCTGAGATTAATATTTTAAAATACAAGCTATATTCCCCCCTTTACTTACAGAAGAACACTGCTCATTTGGGGCTTCCTGCTATTTCTTAATCATTTATATAATACATTCTAAACCGGAGTACTACATAGATAAAGTATCCTAACTAGAGGTACATTTAGCCATCTGCCCTTACTGGTAATGTTTAATTTTATATATGCTTAAAATTAACATATAAAATCAGCTTGCAACACTGGTTTATAAATATTTAGTTAACTACATACTATAGCCTACAGGAAATCATGGTGGAATTTTATAGGTAAGACAAAGAACACACAACTTTCTATTTTCCCCTATGTATGAGACTAAATGGGAGGGCAGGGAAGGGGATAGGGAGCCGGCTTTTAAAAGACAACTGATACTGAAGCTGCTACCAGAGAAAAGTATGAGTGACCATTAAAAACAAAACAAAACAAATCTAGTCAAAAATTTCACTAAAAAGCCACTTTACTAAGATATTCTTCCACAAGACATCAGGTGAACTAGGAAACTACAATCAGAAACTGTTACTTATATCCAAATTAACAAAAATTAATCCAAAAATTATATCCAAATTAACAAAAACTAAAATTCAATATGAATTTAGAAAAATACATTTAAAGAGGAAAAATACATAATTAGCTGCAATATGTATCAAAAATATTTAATACATTATTTCCCCTTTAGCTAATAAAAACAAGCTCACAATATTAAAAACAAATCTATTGTTTTTTTTAATTTTTAAAAAAAATTTTATTTAGATTGTTGTTGCAGTACAATTTTCTCTTTTACTCCCATCCCAACCCACCCACCCAGCCCTCCCCTCCGCCCTCCCATTTCAACCTGCCCCTAGTTTTATCCATGTGTCCTTTATACTCGTTCCTGTAAACCCTTCCCCTTTTCCCCTGAAATTCCCTCTCCTCTCCCCTCTGAACTCAGTCAGTCTGTTTTTTATTTCAGTGTCTTTGGTTATATTTTGTTTGTTTCTTTGTTTTGTTGTTTAGGTTCCTGTTAAAGGTGAGATCATATAGTATTTGTCTTTCACTGCCTGGCTTATTTCACTTAGCATAATGCTTTCCAGCTCCATCCATGCTGTTGCAAAGGGTAGGAGCTTCTTTCTTTCTGCTGCATAGAATTCCATTGTGTAAATGTACCATAGTTTTTTGATCCATTCATTTACTGATGGACACCCTAAGTTGCTTCCAACACTTGGCTATTGTAAATTGTGCTGCTATGAACATTGGGGTGCATAGGTTCTTTTGGATTGGTGTTTTAGGGTTCTTAGGATATAATCCTACCAGTGGAACTGCTGGGTCAAAAGTCAGATCCATTTTTAGTTTTCTGAGGAAGTTCCATGCTGCTTTCCATAGTGGTTGTACCAGTCTGCAAGCCCACCAACAGTGCACTAAGGTCCCCTTTTCTCCACAACCTCTCCAACACTTGTTGTTTGTTGCTTTGTTTATGATGGCCATTCTGACGGGCGTGAAGTGGTATCTCATTGTGGTTTTAATTTGCATCTCTCTGATAGCTAGCGATATCGAAGCGGTTTTCCGAAAGTAATTGTAGTTAAAATATCTGTTATGGTGTTTATATTATTAATATATTCACTATAAAGAATGGGAGGACAACCATGTGCCAAAAATAGATTTGATTTAAAGTTAGTGTCAAATCTATTGTTTTTGACACATGGTTGTCCTCCCATTCTTTATAGTGAATATATTAATAATATAAACACCATAACAGATATTTTGACTACAATTACTTTTGGAAAACTGCTTCGATCAGCATTCTGCAGTATCTGTATCTTAGGCGAATATCAGAGATTGTGATCATGGGCAATAACCAGGTTTCTCATTCAGTGTCTGTCCACTCAAATGCCAAGCCTATTCTCTCCTTAAGGTTTTAGCTTCCATTTCAGATATGCTGTTTTCTTGAATGTTACTAAAAACACTAAGCAAATATTTATAAAATCTTCTTTATATAATTTTCACTTACAGTGTTCTTTTAGGTCACCAAGGAAATAAATGCCTCCTTTTTCCCCCTCTTATATGCAGAATTTTACCATATATCCTATGTGGCAGTGTCCTTAAGTTCTGCTTAGATGAAGGCATTATCCTTAGCCTGCTCCATCACTTACTTGGTTGCCAGGAGATACCATACAGTTGTACACCTGGAGTTAATGTTGTTACATACAGGCAGCTTCAACCCCTGCAGGCATTCTTTTAATGATTCCTGTAGAAGTAGGACTTTTTTTCAGCTTAACTAAATCAGTTCTCACAATACGAAAAAGAGTGTAAGAGTCTAAAGTAGTTTAGTTATTCACTGGCTATATGCATTAATAAAAACCCTGGTCTTATGAGGGATTTGTCCTGTGTCCAACCCAGGCAATAGTACTTTCTCAAATGGCCTGTTACTTAAATTCAGTCACCAAGTACATATGGGAAAAAACCTAGGCATGGGGCTAATGGTGTTTGGTCACAACTCTGGCTATTTCAGGAAGTAGTATCTACACAGTAGAAGTAGAGAGTGGCCAAGTTGTCCTGTGCAGATCTTTCATTTGGAGTTAAATGTAAAAAGTGGGGAAGGGCTGAACCTTCTTCATACTTTCTTCTCTGTTTACTAAAGGCACCAGGCAACATAGTGTAGGAATAGAAGGCAACTTATTTTCTCAACCTTTAAACAAGTTCTGACAATTCACTTTTCTCTTTCCCTGGATGAAATCTTGAACAGATCTCCAAATGACGTTTTTAGTCTCTCTGTTTTCAAATTTCCCCTCAATCAAGGTGCTTAGCCCTGTTTGCTCCAAATTCAGTTTTATTCTCATGTTATAAAGAGCTTCTTCCTCCCATTTATCTAGCTTGTATCTTATTCAGGTTTGGAAGCCTCCAATGGGGAGAGGAATTGATTTCATTTCTTCCAAACTCCAGACTCTGTCTCCTCCGCCCTCATTAAATTAACTATGCTGTCTCCAGTTCTTTCAGCGTGGGTGAATTAGTATGTATGGGCACAAATGCAAAGGGGTGAAGCAAAAGAAGGAAAGGACAGAGACGATCATTCATGCCAGGGCTGTACACTAAACTCATAGCCTCATCTCAACTGTGAGCTTAAAAGGCTGGCTCTTTCACTAGTGGAGTAATTTGGGGATGCCCTGAAAAGACCCTCCCATCTGCATTCCTCGGCTCCAGGTATGCCTCCCTTAGCCCTATACTCATCATTCTTTCCTCAATCGCTAGTTTCTAGCTGTCCATACCACCATGTTAATTCTGTTGTTTGCTCTCCCCTCCTGAGCCAGAGATTGTGTATAGTGTAAAAAACAATTCACATTTAAATATATCATGCATCATACATAAATGTATTGTACATGGTTTCCTTACTTTTATAATTGGTACATTGAATTGCCAAAACACTTGGGGACATTTAAAGAATTATTTTCCATGGCTGCCTTCAAAGGTGTCCTGATGAACCTTCCTTTTCCAGCTCCTGAACAAGCCTTTAGGCAAACCCCACATCTCTTTGGTCACTTTGGGCATAAAAAAATCCAATTTTACTCCTTGAACAAATGCACAAACATCCCCCCTGGCCTCACCTTGCTTTTCTAATCTTTCTCCTCTACTCTGGTTTCCTTAAGGTAGGTGGAATAAGGAAGGGGGTGGGAGGACACTGGCAGAATGACCAATGCTATTTAATTCAGTTTTTAGAACCCTGAACATATGAAGTATTCAAAGGCTAGTTTAACTCATGGGGTGGGCATGTGGGGTTCTTTCAAAGAACTACGTCCAGTTCTTTAGCCCTCACTGCACCACTTCCCAAAGCTAGCTCTGCATTCAGACTTCCTACAACTCCAGCCCTCAGCAACTAATATAGAGCAGATTGCCCACTGCCTCTTTATTTTGGAGTTCCTTGGGGTCCTTTCAAGATGCTTCACGCCCAGTGGCTACCACTTTCCACAGCATCCACTGGGTCCACAAGAACTCAGACATCTTCACCACCCAAAAAGGTAAGGCACAGCTGGCTCAGCCATGACTGTACGCCTCCCCCGCTCCTAGGCCAACGCCACCATCAAGAATAAAGGATTCTCCCAGAGTGAAATGGCTAAGGTTTAACCCTTTAAGTATTAAAGATAATTTTGTTTACAATTTTTTAAAATTGTACTCTTAAAATATCCTAAATATAATTGCCACTTAATTGATAAAATTCCTACCTTACTTGGTTTGTCAGCGGTTTTGACACAGATCTCATTCCCAAAATACCTTTTGCCCCTTGGATCCACCAACACTACTCTGTTAGTTTATTTCTTATTATTTTTTATCATTCTTTTTGTCTCTTCCACACCTGCTTTAACTATTAGTATTCTCAAATGATGCTAGGGCCTTTCTTCTAATATAGATAATTTCTCTTTTCTAAAATAGCTGCAACCTTAAATCCCAAGGCTTTAACTACCAGGCATATGTTATGATGATTATGATGGTTTCCCTCTGACCTGGCCCTTCATTCTATTCACCTGACATCTCAAACTCATATCTGACTTGTTCCCTAGAATCCAGTTTTTCAATAGTGGGACCTATGTAAATCACAGAATTGATCATAATATCTTTGATATCTCACTTCCTTAATCTCCACCCAGAGAGAACTTGTTCTTAAAATACAAATCTGATCTTATCACTCTTTACTAACACCTGTTAAATTCTTTTCAGAATATTAGTGAATAGCCCCATTTTATCCACTCATCACGAATTATTTTTTTTTAAAGTTTTATTTATTTATTCTTAGAGAGAGGGGGAGGGAGGGAGAAAGACAGGGATAGAAACATCAATGTATGGATGCCTCTTGCAGACTTGGCCTGCAACCCAGGCATGTGCCCTGAATGGGAATCGAACCAGCAACCCTTTGGTTCACAGGCTGGCGCTCAATCCACTGAGACACACCAGCCAGGGTGACTCATTGCTAATTCTTTATCGTGGGCACCAAACTTCTCTGAAGACAATTCAGGTGATTATTGCAAGAATTGCCACATTAGTATACAACCTATTTGCTTGGCTCTGGACACCTGACACAAGCTGGACCAATCACAGTAGATCACTTCCTTGGCTACAATGACTAGTCAGAAGATAAGCACTAGACCCAAGCCAGGCCAGTGAGCTCAGGACTTAGAATAGAAAGGGAGTCCACTAATCTCTGTGGGGTTTTATCCTGTTACATGAGTGGTAGGCAGCCATGTTTCCAGCTACACAAACCACAGAAGAAAGCTGATGTACAAAATGAGAAACAAAGGTGGGAGAAAACTGAAGCCAGGATACATAGAAAGGCAAAAGTAAAATATAAGAGTTCTGAGATTCCCAGTCCCTAAGTCTAGTTAATTCTGAGAGGCCCAGTTACATGAAACACTCCAGTAGCCTCTATGATATCATTTGGCTTAAATGAGTTTATGTTGGATTTCTCTTACTGGCAACTAAAAATTACTAGTAACAGAAATCAAGTACAGAAAGAGAACAAAATCTTTAACTGACCCATAATACCCTGCATGAAATTATCAATCTGGCCTGGAACGCCCTCATCACAACAGTCCAAATGGCTTCCTTCAGCTGTTTATACACACAAAGCTCTTTCTGTTCCAGAGCCTTTTTCTTCCCATTTTTCTTAACTCACCATGACTAATCTTTCAGTCAGCTTAAATGCTGTATGTCATCATGGTACCCTGGACTTCACCTTCCGAGCACCGGAACTGGATTCCAGTTGTGTTTCATTTCAATGGCTGGCTTCCTCAAATCAATCTCATACACATGCACAAAATAAGCAAATCCTTGCAGTTACAGCAATTCTGATAAATATCTTACCTCAAATGCCCATTCTTTTTCTTCTTCTCCATCCAGAAACAAGCGTGTTTCTTTGTAAACCTGGCCTATATCCAGGTTTAATGGAGATATGTCAAATTCAAGCCGTTGCAATTCAAATCCTAGTCCAATGCCTATGGCTTTTATGAAGCTTTCTTTCAGTGCCTAAGATACAGAAAAACATTTTCTCTTAGAGCTTTAAGTAGATAAAAATTTTCAATGTAAAGGTACAGGCCTAAAACATCTGGATCTTTAACTCCATACTACAATATGTCTATAAGCTATTTTTTTTCACTGTTACAGTAGACATGAAGACAAACCAGCCATATGACCTTAAGGAAAATCATTTAAACTCCCTGGACCTCCATTTTCTCATGTGTAACATGTAATAATAATAATAGGTCTTTTATAATAATTTAACTAATTTACAAAAGGCTTCAAGTAATGCCTTCTGGCATACAGTAAATTTTATATGTGTTTGTTAAATAAAGCCTACTATGTATAAGTTTAACACAGAAAACATTTATAAAAAGTGATAAATAAAATGTCTTGTTCTAGCTTCAAAAGTAAATGCCTTTTAACTGAGCATTAAATGTTAAATTTTCTTAAATGTCATTATAATAATGTATACATAAAAATCATGAAGTTTCCAACTAATGACCTATTTAACTTCAAACAATATATGAATTACCAGGTAACCAAAACTTTTTTGGTCCTATTTTTTGTAAAGATAATAAAATCATCCCAAGCATTTACTCTCAAAATTAGAAAGAAATTATACCCAATTCCTATAAAACATATCCAGTTGAGTCCATTCATCCTTAAAGCTTCTGATTGTTTCCCATTCTTTGTTGGTAAACTTTCTTTTCATAATATGAAAGAATTCTGAAATTGAACCACGACCTGTCAATTAAGGAAACAGGGAATTAAAAAGAGCTGTTCTATTATCAAATCTATTAAAGAGAGCACACAAAAGAGAACCACAGGCCAAGCTCACTTTTGAATAGTCACAATAATCCTCAACAAAGTATCAGCAAATCCAATTAAGCTGGGAATTAAAAGAGTAATGTACAATGATGTACTGGGGTCAGATCAGGAAAAAGACAGGTCAACAGGAATAGTGAAATCCCATGAATTACTAAATGTTTAAGGAGAAAAACAATATTGCAATAGATGCCCTCCCAAATTGGTAAAATTTAGCAGCCAAACCTGTTATAAATTTTAGTTAAGAGGAAATTCCTATATATGACAAAGAATCATACACCCTTAAGAACTCTTAGAGCAATCTATTCTGGGGTTTAGAATTTTACTTTGCTATATAAACAGAAAAAAAAAGGAACAGCTTCTTTATTATAATTTCCTAGAAATGGGTAGAAGGCTGAAAAGTGTTCTTTTATTGAGAGTTATCACAATGAATGGAAAATATACTTATTTCCTTCAAAATAATTAATATTTTCTAATATGATTTCTCCAAATAAAAGAGATTTCAATTTCTATTCTTTTGGGGATACCATAAAACAGGCTCATTTTTAAAAAATTTGAAGTCTATCCCTAACTCTACTGTTCCATAAACAAAATATTACATAGTGTTATAAAAATAAATGACAAAAAGCACAGAACTCAAAGGACCCGATTCCCAGAGTTAAGGGTTAAGACACAAATTAAAATATAGACAATGCCTTTTGTACTATATTTTCAAAAATATTATAATTACATTTGTATCTTTTTACTATTATAAGGCAGGAATTTCTGTCATCATCCATTTAGTCTACAGGCATGCAGACATGTATAAATATTACACAAACAGGTACTGAACTAACGAATAAAAACAAATCAGTCATGGTTCTTGCTCTCACACACTTCAAGCTTAATGGCCTCTCAGAAAGCCTGGCCCAAGCTACATGAACACAAATGTTTACTCTATAAATAACTGAATGTTTATTATTTGGTAAATTATTTCCTAAATGTTTTACTATCCTATGCTTTTCCAGAAAACCTCTTGAAGATCGTCCCTCTACAGATTCTGTTCGTGTACCTTGCCTATTCTAACTCCAACTCCCATTTCTAAAATATCCATCTCCAAAATCTGACATTCTTAACTGATTGACTACAACCCTAAAAATGGACATCTGCTAACATAGAATGTCTGGAAAAAAGATGTCAAATCCCCCTACTTGATGCTTAGCTGGCATTTAATCACTAACTTCTCCATGAGAATTCAATTAGACTCCTATTATTATAATTTTCACTCTAAAAATGCGTAAGTGCTAGATGCTGGAAGTATCATGATAAGCAAAACACACATGAACCTTATCTTCATAGGGAGTTTATAGTTTCTCCTTCAGGCAGCAACTTTCAACCTTTTTAATCTCATGGCACACATAAATTACTAAAATTCTGCAGCAAACCAAAAAACACATTTTTTGCAGATCGGAAAAAAAAATAGATATAATTTTGATTCATTCCAAGGGCAAGAAGTCAGTGCCCCTGACTAAACAGTCAGGTACTACATGTTTTAAAAATTCTTGTGCCACACGGGTTGAAAGTCATTATTCTACAGTAAAGAAGTAACTTTCCCGTAGTTATCTCAAGGGTAGAAAATATTAAGAGCCAGCTGCGCTCCAAATTAAGATTCCCCCACCATCCTCATTTCAAAATAGTCAAAAGTCTCCTCTTGTTTAGCTAGGAAATATTTCCAACAACCCTACATATGTGGTCCTTTAGTTCAAGACAAAGGTCCTCATTTATTTTCAAGTTCATTAGACTCATTTAATCATCTGTTGTCTCCTAGCCTTCTCCTCTTCAAGAATAACATTACAATACATTTTATGAATTCAATTAGTATCTACTGTTTGTTATTGTTAAAATGATTATTTCCTAAAAGTAGCCCAGCAAAGCTATAAAGTCATTTCATGCAACAGCATCAAAATATTAAACTGTGATCTTAAGAGTCCCAAGGCTATGAATCCCTTTGGCAGTCTGGTGCTTATTCCTTAAGGTGCTTAATAAAAACTATCTTGTTAAAATGCAAGCATCACTAGTATATTCTGACTTGACAAATTACACAGTAGAGAAAGTAAAGCAAGCAACCTTGCATAAGTGATCTGAAGTACATCTGAAGACTTTAAATAGTGGAAGCACTATAACTATATAAATCATGAACTCTGTCCTCCTGAATAGATTCTGGCACAAACAGTGTAAATAATAACAGGAAGAACAGCTACCTTGGATTTGGAAAACGGCAGTACGTAATCTGAGTGGAATTGTAGTTTAACATACTACTACCCAAAAAGCCTAAAATTTAAAAAGATATGCTTGTTGTCATCTACAGAGTCAGTGTAGATGGTTTATTTGTTGGTTTCTTCAAGTTATAATTTTATAACCCTCTAATTTTTAACTAAATATAACGGGGCAATCAAGGAAAAATTTAAATATACATGCTAATAATAAACTGATTAACATAAAAAGCAATCTAGCACAATCATTGGAAAGCAATCTTATAACTGATTATGTGCAGCAAAAAATATCTGATATGAGTACATTTTTATACACTTTTGAGAGCATCTTATTTACTTCACAAAATAAGAGATCTGACAGCAACAGTAAAAGATGGTTTTGTAAATATTCAGCCAAAGCACGACAGCACCACCATGTGGCATCACAGTGGAAATACACAGTGGGTGAAGGCTCTTAAGTACTTTGTTTATCTGGGAAATTGGAATTTAAAAAATTTGGTAGGAATACCAAATAGTACATTGTCCTTCAAATTAACTGAAAACAGCATGATTACTGGATATATAAGTTGGCAAAGTCGCCTATAATACCATCACATATTCACGTAATTACAGTCTTCATTTTAATCATTCTATTATTGCACACGAAAAAACTTAAGTATACACATAGAACAGACAAAATGACTGAAAATTTATATAGAACCATTAACCAAGTTTTAAAAAGTAGATCCCTTATCTTACAGATTAATCTTTAGGGAAAACTGTGTTAGATATTAACTAAATGTTCCCAGTAATCAACTAATCAAGGTCATACACCAACTGGAAGCATATTAAACATACAGTCGTAAAGTAAAACAAAATAATTTGTAGTTAGTACCCCTCGGTGCCATTGCAAGCCTATGGGGGAAAAAAATTCTACAAGTACCAGAATGTTAAGGCCAACCAACATCAATCTCTTTCCAAAACCAGCATCTCAGTTAAAGTTTGCCATTTTTCTTCCATCTGTTTGTTTCAAGTAATGAAATATAGCTTTGGATAATGAATTGTACTAGAAATTCTAGTAGTTTCATTCACTAAGTACTGAATTACTTGTAATCTTGCTTCCATTGGATGTGACAGTCTTCTAAAATTTCAGTTAGTATATACACAATAATGCTTGACTTATCAGCTTACTTGTCTGGGAATTTTATCCAGATACAAACCCAGAATAAAAAAAAAAGTCTGAGCTGCTAAAAACGATTTCACACACTACCACAAACCATGTAGTATGTTAACAAAAGAGCCCCTTAAGCCTTCCATACAAGTAGCTCATCACAGAAAAAAATCGCAATTGAGGCTTGAAACTCTCCACCACTGAAGCAGTCCTAAATTGCAGTTGCTTTTCGCATTTTTATTTAAGTTGCATTTATCAATACCTACATGTAACAACACAGACAGGCAAGAAAAGGGCCTACAGTTAGGGCTATCTGGCTGCAAATGCATTATCTTTCAAGTAAAAGAAAGGACTGTGAAAGCAGGATAAAGGGGCAAAAGTAGGGGCGGTCAGTCACCCTGAAGAGCCTGAGGACCTAGCAGGGAGCCACAAAGGATTAACCTCAGGCCTTGACACTTTCTGTAATTTGCTCTGCAAGCTTTTGAACTTTGTTGGGACCCATGAGCCTTTTTTCTTCCAACTTCTCCCTTTTAAAACGGGAATGTCAATCCCATGCCTGCCCCACCAATGTACTTTAGAAGCAGGTGATCTTTCCTCTCGCTTTACAGGTTCACTAGTGGAAGAGAAATTTTGCCCCACATTCCATCATACCCAGAGTCACCCATACCTGATTTAGATGATTCAGATAGAGATCTGGAACTTTTTGAGTTGATATTTAGATGTGACTTAAGTTTTAAAGTTAATGAATGCTATAATAGTTTAAGACTTACGGATGCTGGGATGGGGTGAATTTATTTTTTATGTGAGAAGGATATAAATTTGGCAGGGCCACAGGATAGAATGTAGTGGGTTGAATAGTGTCACTCAAAATTCATGCCCATCTAGTACCTCCAAATGTGATCATATTTGGAAATAGTTTTTTTTTTTTTGCAAGTGTAATCAAGTCATATTAGATTAGGGTGGCCCTATTATCCAATGACTAGTATGCTTGTAAGAAAAAACATTTAGACACACAGAGAACCTATAGGGGGAAAGGTCACGTGAAGATGAAGGTGGAAAATGAAGTGAGAAAGGTCCAAGCCAAGGAATGCCAAGGATTGTCAGGAAATGAAGTAGAGGCAAAGGAATCTTCCCCAGAACCTAGAGGGAACATGGCCCTGGCAACACTTTCATTAACTTGGGACCTTCACAACTGTCAGACAATAAATTTCTGTTGTTTTAAGACATCAAGTCTGTGGTACTTTGTTAGGAGTTCTAGGACACTGGCACACACGAATACAGTTTAACTTCAATACACAAACACAATCGAACACTCTTAAGAGCTTTAGTGTTATGGACTGGAGTCAAATGTTCAAATCCTGGCTCCACCACTTCTTTACTGTTATTTAACATCGTTGTGGCTATTTCTTAAAGCTAATAAATTAGGGACAAAGAGTTGGGCATATTAAGGAATAAACATGTAAAGTGCCCAGAACTATTAAGTACTTAATGTTAGCTGTAAGGTTGTTGGGGTAGTT